TACCTGCTGCTGGGGTCAACTACCACCTTGTACCGATTTTCTGTTCATACGATATATCCCACCCCGATCAATTGTTGTGACGGACAGTGCCCATATTTCGGTTTTTCACGCGAAAAATTTGTTTCATTACCGCGTGGATACAGTGTATTACGTAAAGTTTTATTTTGCAACTGGAGTTTGTGAGCCGGTGATTCAAAGGTGATTTGTTGGATTATCTACGTAAAAAGTGACCGGGATCATAAATGACAAGTCTCCTTGGTAATGAGGACGACGGGGTTCAATGCACCCCTCCCGAAATTATTTACTATTTTTTCATACGTCTGATAATCCAGGATATTCTGGCAATAAAAGTTAGAGATGATAGATGAAACGCCAGATGTTGCATTTTGTGACGTCTTGTCTAAACATAGCACAAGAAAGTGATGAAAAATTACTTCATAGCATCCACGACTTGCTCAAAAGTGTGAAACGGAAATAAAACGAAGCCAGCAACCTGTGTTACCGTTTTAGTACTTCAGTACTAATTATGTACATTTGAAACCTGAAAATAATTTTTCAGTACTTTTTTCGATATTTCATTACTTTTCCAAAAAGTTGACCATCAGACCGATAGTTGACTAGCTGGTCAAATACTTTTTTTATATTTTGGCATGACATATGTATTAGTACGACATGAAATCATGATGATTCATAGAAGGGAGATTTTTAATTAACAGGTCAACCGACTATATTGGATAAGTTGACTAGTTTATATATTTGTCATTACTTTTTATTATTTTATAGTTGAAGTGACATCGTGAGCAATTAATATGATGACTGATGACAAATATAGAGTAGCCAATTAAAAAAAAATACATGCATGCGCTCTACGAAATGCTTATCCAATTTTTTCCATTGTCCCTTTTTCTTTTTTGTCCACCTTTTGTCACCCAATCATTTATAATTATTGAATAAAAACTAAGTATGTTGGAATATGTTGCCTGTTTACTGAAAATATTTATTACTGACGGATTCGCTTTATTAGTACTCCTGTGAGTTTCAGTACTTTTTTATTCGCCCTCTAGTACTTTTTTCAAATGATCACGGCAACACTGCATGCAACTGATCATTCCATGCATCGATTGATATTGCTTTTCATAAACTATGCATCACGATTTGATCCTCACAAACAAGTAAATACGAAATTCACTACGAACAAGCTACTGAGATAGCGAAACCTGTAATATTTTTTCGAAAAGAAAGTGTGTGATCAAACTCTCTTTTTTGCTTACAGAAACAAAAGAACAATTTTTTCACAATTTTTACAAACATTGTTTGAAGGTGGTTGACAATGTTTCGTGGTGTATTTCATCACTTCGGACTTCCGTTGTCTAATATAATATAAATTGATTTGAAATCCCTGAAAAAAATTAAAAAAAGATCAACCGAAAATATCAATTTTATTAAACAAACAACTTGTATTTTATTTCTTCCTAATTTCATTTTTTTTTCGTTTTATAAAATTGTTATTTTCGGTTAATTTCTTTTTAATTTTTTCAAATCAATTTATATTATAGTAGACAATGGAAGTACTTTACAAACATTATTTTCCACCGATGTTGGCAGATTTAATTTTTCTATGATGAATTTAAATTGTTGAATGGCCAAAGTATCATTTTTTTCTCATTTTTTCTCCTTACGAATAATCGAGGGCATCAACAATCAAAATAATAAAACATTCAAGTCCTTAAAAGATTAATAATGGGATGAATGCTTGAACAAGCATGATTATAAAAAAAGCAACAAAATATTAGAAACTAGGAAAATGAAGATGTTTAAAAAAATTATTCAGATCTGATAATTACGTTAATTTTTCAATTCAATGAATCATTTATTTCATTTCAACTTATGGATATATTTTATTATTTTTTTGTTCAGTGGAGTTTCAAGAAAAGAATTGTTTCTGTCATCGAAACAGAATTGAGATTTTTCTTTTTTTCCCACATTTTTTTGTGTAATGATGTAGTAGAAAGCCAAAAAAGCTCATTTCTCAAAACAAGTCTCTCCTAAAAATATAGGCTTTCCAATTTAGAATTGAGATATTATGATTTTTATTACGATTTTAAGTTTCTGCACATACGATACACTGACTTGATAGATTTTTGTAACGGACAGTACCCATATTTCGATTTTGTTCCATTATCATGTGAATAAAGTCTACTGAGTGTAGTTTTATTTTGCAATTGGAGTTAATAATGAATCAGTGATTCAAAGATGATTTGATGGATGTTTTTGTTGTCTACGTTGGAAAATTGAATGATAACCGTCCTTGATGATGACAGAGTTCAACACACCCCTCGTAACTAACTCGTTATCATTCATAATCGACGAGTTTACCAATACAGGACATTCTGGCAATAAAAATCGGGAATGCAAGGTGAAAATACAAAAAACGCCAGATGTTGAATAATATGATGTCCCGCCTAACCGTAACACGGTTAACCGATTCCACGAATTTTCCAAAAGTGTAACATGAAAATTAAATGAAACCAGCAACAAATCGTTAGATGAATTCATTGATATTACAGCAATTTATGTAAAATATTTATTGTGATCAAGGATCATTTCAGTTGATACATTTTCAAAATCCAGTAGAACAAATTGAAAAACAAATTTTATTAAAATTAATTTGGATGCCATATTCAATTAATGAATTGTTCGACAATAGAGCTCCCACAAAGTTGAATATGGATATTTTTTTTTAAATCGACCTCCCCCATTTTGTACTGACAGAAACAAAATTAAATTTTCTTAAATTCATTTAAGTATTGCGTAATCTTTTTATTGAAACAAAATTCACCAGTGTTAGCATTTTTTTTTAAATCGACAAATTTTTCATTCCTTTCTCCATTCTTCATCCAGCAAACTCTCTCTCCTCTCTCTTCAGGAATAATTACACAATGGAACAATGAATATAATAAAACACGTATTTCAAATGAATATAATGGAATGAATACTTGGGTAAACATAGTTATTGAAATAATGAAACATGATACAAAAAATTAAACATTCGGTGTAATTCAAATGTAAAAATGAAATATATAGGAATCTTTGAAAATATGTGAAAATAGAATAAAGATATTGCAATTTCAATTATTCATTTTGTCTGTTCAATATTACATCTAAATGTTTTCAGTTTGTTTTTGATCAAAATGAAGGTTTCGAATCGTTGGAAATACACTATCGAAAATAAATTCGTGAATAAATAACCACTGAAATAGATATGAAATTCGCAAATGATTTCATTATTCCAATAATTTCTCAGCTGAATAATCATTTGCTATTAATAATAACTGTTTCTATTATGTTATGTCTACCTGAAAATGAATAGTTTTTATTGAGTATTCATTGAGAGCTATTGAAGAAAGCACCCCAATGAGTAATGATGCGTACGATTTCGTGTGTAAATACAGACGTCGGTTACATTTTGAATAATCGACAGGAACCAGTTGCTTACTCAAAAATTCAACACAGAAACTAACTTTCGGCTTGTCAGAAGTGGATTTTTTTTTAAATGGTCCACTTGGGGAGTGGCCGTTGGTTGGGGCTTTGGGGGATAGGACCTGACCAGCGCAAACTACGGTTGAAAATAATAATAACAATAACGTGCCTAATGTAGTCCTTCTCGACCACCAGAGCAAGACGATATTTGTTGTGATTTTTCAACTCCTGGCGAGACGAATATCGTCCGAAAAGAGGAGAAAAACGGATAAAATATCTAGATTTTCTCTTCAAACTCCGCAGACTCTATCCAGACCACTCTGTCAAAATGATTGTTCTGATTATTGGAGTCCTTGGTGGAATGATGCCCTCTCTATTCTCGAATCTTGAAATCATACCGGCTTGTCGCACTTAGGCAGAAATTCTAGCCGGACAGATGCAGAAGGCTGTCATTCTTGGCTCACTGCGCTTGCTCAGGACACATGATTTTCGGACCCAATGATCACTTACCCCACGGTGTGGGTAGTGGTCGTTGGTTGATAAAGCTTTGCAAACTACGGAAAAAAATAATACATTAGTTCAATGTATGAGTTTGAAAATTCTAGGACGAAACTACAGTAATGTTAGACACAAATGAAAGTGGAAAAATCATAGAAAGTTCCAATTTTCATTTTTCATGATGATTTCCTACCACGTATTACCGGCTACATCCATCAATACTTAACCTTTTACATGGTAATTACAAGAAAACGCCAAAGCTCAGGTGATCAATATATTTTATGAAAAGTACATTGACCTCTGTTATTATTCTCAATGGTCTTAATGGTTGTTGAAAAATCAGCTAATGAAATAAAGCCCACAAGAACATTTCAAATGGATTTTTGTTTTACTATTTCACTGCTGTTGTCACTGAAATCTGTCACAATGTTTCCATATATTGCAATTAATTTGATGGTTATTTATAACTGGAACAATTATCAATAGATGTAACTGTTCTTATATGTATCGTTATCATTGTGTATATTCCTGCATTATAACTTCTTGTTGCCACCTAATATTTATAAATTTCAAATCTATACTTCAAACTAGCTATTGTTTTTTCAGAAAAGGAGTCTTAGACACCATCTATTTTGAATCTTGCTCAAACTAATATCTAAGCATTGTCACATTCAATTTTTTTGAGCGACATAATTAAATGAAAACGCAATAATTGCTTTCCATTGGATGGTATTTCGTTAAAACATGTTGAAAGTCCTGCATTTCTCTTGGCATCTCATGCATCCCATTTTTAGCATACCAGTCTGAACCAACTGATGATTCAAATTCTCGATTTAAATAAAAAATATCTGTTTGATGCCTCTGCGCGTAATTTTGGCACGGTTTGTGAGGTCAGAAATTAAAAATAGTTCGCCCAACTGAGTCGCAACAAAATTTCGCGGTGTCGTCGTGAACAAAAACACGTTCCACGTTGTTGATAATCCAGATCGATGTATTTATATTTCAACTCTTTTTTGTTTCAGGCTTTCGAATAGTTTGGAAGAAAAACTCGAGAAAACTGAAAAAGACTTGAAGGAAATAGAGCGAGCTCTGATTGACATAACTCAGAGGAAAACCGATTTGAATAACCTCAAAGAGAAAGTGATTAACTTCTACGTCTTCCACGAGAATATCTCTCGTACAGAAAAAGACTTGAAAGAACTCAGAACAGAAGTGGACAACAAGATAAGAGACATTGTTGAGTTCAGCTCGTCTCTAAAGAATAAATACAATTCCCAACACTTGGTACCTTCAGATATCGCTCAGGAACTGAACCAACTTGAGCTCCTTTCAGAATCGATAACAAGCGCCATGGACGAGAAGGACAGGGAGTTCAAGAAAGCCCGGACAGTCCGAACAGACTTCACTAGTGACGTAGACGAGCTTCAAGCTTGGATGAAAGATGCAGAGCTCAAGGTCCAAGATCGATCGATTGAACCACAACTTCTACACGAGCATCTCCAGCAAATCCAATCTGAACTTGGAGGCATGGCCGATAAGTTGGAAAAACTCACCAAAAACGGTAGGATAATCATCGAGAAAACCAAGGACGATGAAGAAAAGGTGATGGTGCAATCGACCATCAACGATTTAACGGATCAGATTGCACAGGTGAGATCCTGGCTGGACGAGAAGAGACAGCAAGTCGGAGAAACTTTGGATGCTTGGCAACGGTTCCTCACTCTGTACCAGGCGGTTATACAATGGGTTCAGGAAAAGAGACTGTTCCTCAAAGAACCTCTACACCTTAGTACCTTGCAAGAGGCTAAGGTGAAACTGCATGACTACTCGGTAAGTAGACTCATTCTTGACCTCATCTGCAAAGAGAGTTGGCATTTATATAAAATTGCTTACATATTTTTTATTTATTGGTTTGTAGTTTATTATTGAATCATATATTATAGGATAGTTATAATGATTTTATTAACTACTTCTGCTCAGGGACTGTGTCCCTGAATTGAAGAGGATATCATTGTGAAAATGGACAAACATATTTGTCATGGTCTGTCTGAAAAACAATTATAGCCTGAATACATAGCTTGTAATTGATGCATTTTGAACCATCTGAGCGATGAGAAGGTGATTTCTTGTGATCTGGTCATCGGAACAGTCCTCGAGAAAAAAGTTGCAATCTTATTGTTCTCTTGTTCTCTTGTTGAGAACCGCAAGCTGATGTATCTTCAAGGAAGTCAGTTCACCGAATTAATTCTGGATAAAACTTCTATAATGAGGAGTTCGAATCACCTCCTTTGAATGATTCGTTGCCACTAGAAAACAAGGATTAATTCGAATAGAAATCCACATACTTACTGATTTTTCCTTATACAAGAAAAAATATTCTGTTCTTTTTCGACATAGGTTCTACTGAATTGGTTTTCAAAATGAATCTAGAACTGATTGATTTCATATAAATAGACTCTCTGAATTATAATATATCAACCTTATTTTGTCTTTGAAGATTCACAATGAATATCAACAAAGTTCCCACTATATTCAACTCAACAACAAAATTTTCAAATTCTAATTTTTATTTCTTCAGAACGCCGTGAAAAGTTGTAAAAGCGTCACCAAGAACTTGAGCGATATGGCCAAAGAATTAGAACAAATCGGCAACGTGACAAGCGTTGGAGACCTTCCCCATAAAATGGAAGAAGCTGAAGAAGTCAAGACGGAAGTAGAAGCGATAATTTTGGAGAGGGTATGTTTAATTTTCTTAAAGTTTTCAAAATATTTCGATTATACAACTTCTCTAATCGAATGTGTGGGATGGAAAAAATTTGTGGTATCAAGTTGTAAAATTTATCTATCAACATTTATTATCACCAAGAAATATACAATGTTTATGAAGGGATAATAAACAGATGTCATAATTGAATCGAAATCATTATGAGAAATATGAATATTATTGGAAAGAAAAGAAAGAAAATGATAAAAAAGTTGGTCGTGCAGTATATATTTTTTCAGCTAATTTTTTAATTTGGTCAATGGAGTTGTTTCAATTTCAGTAGGTGAACTGTTGTAAATGTTTATTTCATGATAGTCTAATGATTTTGTTACAAATTCAGTCTTGAATTTTGCAGTTTTCAAGTTATTGGATTACCCAGTACCATACTTATGAGCACATATATGAATTAGCTACAGAAGATAATGAGGAATATTTCTTCATTTGTTTTGACGAGTGGATAAAAACACAAATATTTCTCAGAAGAGATTGTTTCTAATCATTATAATCTATCAGATAACTACACAGTATCAAGAAATTTTAAACGGAAATAGATATGACTCAAATAGAATGTGAATATATTTCATTTTATAGTTATCAGGAATTCATTCATTATTACATTCAAGACAGAGTACCTAAGCACCGATATGAAGAAATACGAGTATTGAACATAAGCTGATCACTGAAATTACTAAAGTAAATAATAAACATGGATGCAATGGAAACACTTCTTCCACACACCATGAACAGATAATTTCATCACGTCGCGTGTTTCGCTAACCAAGTTAGCATCATCAGGAGATGACTGAACGTTTTTGATTGAATAACGTTTTAATCATCTTCTGGTGATACTAACTTTGTTCCGAGAACTTGCGTCGAAAATACTGATCTAGTTTTAGTGTGGTAGTTAAACGTTTTCATTAGATTCCTTTAAGTCCAGAGATTTTACTTGAAGGATACATTGAATCTGCATTTTATAACTGGTAGGTAATGTTAAACATGGGATAATTTTATGTTTAGTTTTCTTTCAAGTTTTTGATGGGTTTAGATTTTTGCATATCATTATTCAGCAGTTTTTTGCATATATTTTTGTTCGTGTTAGGACTCACACGTTAAAAGGTAAGACCTCGTTAGTCCTTAGCTCGCACAAGTTTAGACCTTTAAGAGTTGTCGTTCCTAGAGGTACGATAGCTGGTTTACGGAAAAACAGATTTTTCATTCATGTTGAAATATGTTCAATTGAAATGGTTTCCCGTCTACCAGCTGGCGCCCCCTCTGAACGACAACCCTCAAAATTTGGGCGAATTCGAATGTAATGAGTAATATTTCGAATTTTTTGTGAGTAGATCTAAAAACACTTTTTATGTTTCAGAATGCTTTGCTTCAAGAAACCTCGGAGGAATGGGAGCAATGCGAGAAGAAAATCAAGGATGTTAGGAGCTGGATAGAAAAAACTAAGACAGCTCTAGATTCTCAACAGAACAAAAAGAAACCCTTGAGGGACCAACACGGTCTGCGAGAGAAAATGCTCGCGGACATTCAAATTCAAAAGACTAAAATTTCGCTGTCTGTTGAGAAGTTACAGGTAATTGAGGAAAGTGTAACCAAACTTTACAAAATAAATTATTATAATAGTATTTTAAACAATGGCGTATTTTTTATAAGAGGCAATGATAAGAAAGTGATCAATAATGAGAGAGAAAATTGTAAAAAAATTATTTTCATAAATTTTTCACCAAAAAACTTTCTGCCTTGAAATGATTTAAAACATTTCCGCAACAGCTTTTTTTACGAGCAACCTCAGGAGTCCTCTTAAGAGTTAGGCGAGTTCCAAAAATACTGAAGGGTTATGAGTACAATCTATGAATTACTGAGTGGATCTTTATGTATGGAATGCCAATTTTTCTAATCGATTGATCTATTTTTGGAAATATCGATGATTATTCAGTGTGCAAATAAAAAAAAATAATAGAACAGACTAGAAGGCAACATTGTTTTCATTTTCTATTTATTATTCTTTAAACTCTTGAATTTCTATGGACGAAATTATTGATAAATGAGAACAATATTATCAGTGGAACTATTTCCGGCCTTTGATTATTGGAATCAAAATTTAGTCAAAAATATGTTGAAAATGTATATATCCGCATAATTGATATTCCAATGAATAGATAACACAAATGTATTTCCATGCAATGTTTATAATACCAAAATATAACAGTATATAAAGAGCTTTGAAATTATTTCAAATAAAATTAGATAATTTTTTTCGAATTTTATTTTGTTGAATAGTTCAAAACCATTTCGAAAACTTGATTGGTTTCTAATATTTGATTGAGAATTCAAAAGCATAAAATTTTTGCATACCTTGTTGAAAGGCCACTTTTCCCTATCACCAGAAATACAATACTCTTCTCAACTAGCGTTTCGGCAACTAAGTTGGCGTCTTCAGAAGATGATTGATAAAACTAATTAGTTTTCTTCATCTTTGTTATTTTGAAAATTCAATCTAATTTTGAAATTGATGAGAGATACTCGTTTGCTAAAATTTTTATACACACCACACCAAGATGAATTTTGGTCTAAGTATTGAGCGCTAATAAACGTTAATGATGATTTTTTCATGATTTATCAATAAATAGATAGGGATGCCCTCTGAAACAGAATGCTACAGACGCCAAAAAGGAAACAAACTTGTTTTCAACGCCATAAAAATTTGCATTCAAATGTTGTTCAAAATTGTCTTTTCAATATAGAAATAGCGTTATACTCCAAAAAATTAATAACATACGTATTCATTTAACATAAAAGTTCATTCAAATATATTTGTTTTTTCTGTATTGATGTTTTGCTTATTTTCAAGATACAATCACTTTGATCTTGTTAATGAACTGTCTTGTAATGAACCACCATAGTAGGAAAAATGCAAGAAAATACAAACTAAAGAAATCATAAATTCATTTTCTTTGAACTGAATTTCAATTGATCACTGCAATTGAAGGTATTGAGTTACTTCCGAAAATTCTTGTATATTTTAAGTTTCCTTTTTCGACACTTTGTCTCCTCAACTATATTTTATTTTGATATTCTTTCTCTACATTTAACTCTGCTTTTTCTGATCACTGTACTTTGTTTCTCTTTTTTCAATTAATTTGAACATTTCTATTTAACATTTATAGATTTCTAACTTTGATGTGAAACTGCAAAAAACGTAGATCTCTAGTTTCAAATCAAATCCTCTTCCCTCATAATAAAAAAAAGTCATTCTCAAAATCAACTGTCACCTTTGCAAGCTCATTATTCTAATATTTTCTCTTCAGCTCCACTTCCGTTCCGGCATCGAAAGCGACACCAGAGTAACGGAGTCGGCCGAAAACCTCCTCCAAGAACTAGATGACCTCAACGCCACCATCAAAACTCAGAGCGCGCAGCTTGAAACAGCAATCGTGCAAGTTGACCAGTACCAAGTGGAAGTGCAACAGCTGCGTCAGCAAATCGTCCAAGTGGAACAACAGCTGCGCACCGCGATGGCCCCCACCTACCTGCCGCACGACAGAGAACAAGCGATCCGCGATCAGCAGGTAGGTCGCGTGTGATCTGACATTAACATCTAACTGTTATTGTTTAGAATAGATGGGAGTGGCATGACCTGTTGGTGCCGTTTTGGTTCGTCTCAAACGACTTGAGTGATAGGGTGTTAAGCGAATAAATGTCCAGATAGCCCTGATAGCTAAAGCCAAGTAACGCGAAAAAGAAGATGCAGTGAATTCGAGGAGGCCATTGCCGCAAGGTGTCGGTGCAAACTTATAGCAAAATATGGAATTTTCAGTAACATTTTGTATTTTCATTTGCACGAAATATTGTCATTGTAATTTAAACAGACATTCTGTAATGGAAGTTGGCTTCTCTAAAAGAGTATTAAAATAAATGATTGTAACTACGAAAATTTGAATGTACGGTTCCTTATCGCCACATTCAATATTTTTCTGATTCTGAGGTCCGGATAATAGATATTGCCCAATCCATGATCTTCACGAATACTTTTTTTAAAGGTTTAATTCGAATGTAGACTTTTGGGAAAACAGATGATTAAACTTTTAATGAATGGAACATTGTACTAAGTATAAAACAGTCCGTTGAGTGTTAAACCAATGGGTTCATACGACTACTGGGTTGCTAGTTATATCAACATTTTCATCTTCAATCTTCGTTATAATTATTTATGTCATTTGTTTCTAAAGATTCATCAAAAAGTTTCGTCAGGATGATTCGACAGAATAACGTTAACAGCGTAGACAGTGGGCGACATCTAGGTTTCATAATGCTGAGGTCAAACTTAGACAAAAATTGGAAAATGTTTGTTGTTATGTTAACTATTGTTTCACACAAATTAAACGTTAGCTATTCATGAAGTATTAGTAAATGTGACCAAGCTCAACTCTTTCCAATATTCGCAAGAAGTAAATGAATGGAAGTCAGAATCGGAAAATCTATTTATGTATTTTTGTACTAAATACCTCGAAGAAATTATATTCCAGTACACAGAATACTGTATGTTTTATTCTCGATAAGGAGTTGAAAAGACTTTTGTCCTGCTTTACAAATCACTAGTCAATCTACCTTCGTGATTGAGGATATCATAAAAAAATGTCTTATATAATAAACCCTGAAAACTTGTTTGCCTATTTCTGCCAACAATAACTTAATTTCAATCATTTTTGTCTCAAAATAACAAACGTCATATTTCGTAGAGATCCCAATTGACATTTTGTTTGTTTTCTTTGAATTTTGCAGCGCCACCTTTCAGCAATGGAACCCTCGAATAGCAGCAAGTCATACGGAGTGATGTCATGAAATACCGTGACGTTTTACATGTACACAAATATGTGATAGATTTTTAAGCTTCAAAAGTATTTCATTGAAATTAGTTATTTTTCGTCAACATGATGTTTATAATGCCAATCATTTTATAGTGTCAATAGTTGATTTTCCACATTAATTTCATAATAAAATGTAGCCGTTGTAGACTATCGATGAATATGATATAAAATATAGGGTGTTGAACATATTCCAGTATGAAGTGGCTCTTATATTGAACGAATCACTCGGGATAAACCTATTGAAATAAATTCATGAACATTCCAAAATTTATCTATATTTGACTATTAACGACTTTTAGAACGAATTTAGTGCATTGTTACTGTTCTCAATATCCTTTGTGTGAAATACTTAGAATCATTACAAAGGTAAGCCGGATCATCAATAATTAAATTTTCATTAGTAGAAATCATTATCTAACTTGAATCATTTTATGTTGGTCCCTTCTGTAGATCATGCTGCATTAGAGAATTTGATTCAAACAGGGTCTACCAAAAGTTTTTAGCGAATGGTCAATAATTGTTTCGGTCATCCAACAGACCGTATAGATGCATTGATAATCAACAGAAATATTTGCATACCAGATATGTTTTCAAATCAAAATATATTCAATGGTAGACGCTATGAATGTAGTCAGTAAAATATTCTTATTTGTTGTCGGGAGAAATATGGATCATGCCACACCCATCATTCTTCAAAGCGCACTGCAGCTGTAGTGAAGCGAAATTTAGTAAAACGTCAAACTACGATATCATCATCAACTTTCTCTTTAGTTATTTCAGTACCTATCGAATCAAAAAGTTCGAAATTCTCATTTCAAACTCATTTTGGAAACATTTTGATGAAAACTGATCCATTCCAAGAGGGCGCATAAGAGGTGGCTGACACGCTCATCAAGGTGTTTCCATCGCCCCTCTCCTCCCGGCAGCGGGGATTGTGTTTGTTTTGGTTTCGGGCTCTACTGATTTACTATTTGCTTCATTTACTGCTTTACCGCTTTTACCATCTCACCACATTGCTTGCATCGGCCATTTACGCTTGAGTTTCACCACATTTACCACTGGTTTTGTGTTCACTATCTATCTCTCATTCCACATTAGTCCTGTGCATTACTCACTCACACACACACATACACTCATTGCTTACGGTACTTTGGGAGCTGGAGAAAGAAAGCGAACACAATCGATCAATTTATGTTTGCTCATGTTTGATTATTTCTCACGGAGCGTTTTGTTTCTTTTTCTATGTTTTGCTGCACTCCCTATTCTCCACTATCCCCGTGCAGGTGTACAAGGAACGTGCGCGCGCTTTGCAGAGTAAGCTCAGTTTCCGGAACGAGCGCATGAAGCTTATTACGCAAAGGGGCGTACCCGACCAAGAACCACTTGGCACTTAGCACTCCCACCAATCCCAAACTCTATTCCACCGATTATGACCCAAACCTTACCTGAACACCACATTTGACTCGTCTCAGCCACCATCTTGCGCGTATATTTTGTGTAACGCGATACTGATACATTGCATTGTTGCTACGTAAACAGGCGCGGATCGAAGCTTACCGGACGAAGATATCCACGCTCGTCGCCAACATCAGACTAGCGGACCCGTACTCCGTCCAACCAGACCCCGAGTATTCCCTTCTTGGGGTTTCGTATGCGGACATTGCCGCTGGCCGCTCGAAATCTCAAGAACGCCGATCAGCTTCACCTGCCTACGAAAAACACGAAACTGTTTCGACGATTAAGTTGGAGAAGACGACACTACTCCCTGAGACAAAACCACCGATAAATAAGCTCGTAGAAAATATTCCCGTCATTCAAGAACCGGAACCCGAACCCGAAGGAAACAAACCGGCAATACCTCGTAGAACCAAATCGCCAAGGCGTAGCCGTTCCCCACGTAGAAGGGATAATGTTTCAGTAACTGTGGAACAACCAAAAACTGTAGTAACGCTTACTGAGCAACCATTTACTCAAAATGAAGCTAGAGAACGCTCCCCTAGCCGCGACACTACTAAACAAGGAACAAACCTCAGCGTTGCGGGTAAAGTCCGTGGCCGTTCCCCAAGCCCGATGTGGATACCTGGACAAACGTCATATGCCGAAATTCTGAGGGGGCAATCTCGTTCATCCTCGGAGAAAGAAATACTGCCCCAGAAAGACATCCTACTGAAACGAACGCATGAGGAAGCACCGAGTGTTGAAATTGCTTTAGAAGAAGTTTCAAATGAACCAGCTTTTAAAGAAATACCGACATCTATGAGTGAGGACCACTTGGATGTTCCAAGCCAACCGACTGTAGATTTTGAAGATGTTCAAGAAACTCGATTTGGGTTAACCCCTGAAACTCACGAATGGGATCACTACACCCAAAACGCATTCGGTCAAAGTCATTTCGGCACGAATGGAGTTCAACAGAACTACTACACACAGCACGTTCAACCTAATGTTATGGACTATATCCAACCGTTGCCAGATATGGTGAACTTTATCGCTTCAGGGCAACAACTGATGAGCTCCGGCTTGGGAACGTATCACAGTTCGCCACAATATCCCGTCATTGAAGAACAAGTTCCCTTAGAATATGTCGGAACTGAATACAATCAAACCCTCTCTGCGGAGATTCTCGAGGTTGTTCCGAAAACAGTAAAACCCAGCGACGAAGAACTGGTCCTTGAACCACCAACGCAAACAACAAATACCGTCGCCACTGGTTCTCATTTCTCGTACGCAAAAATTTTGTCTCAGGGACTGGGCACAAAGTCTCTTCAGCCATCCAGTTTAGCAACAGTGCAACCTCCGAACGCTCGACCCGCTCTCAGACAAAAGTCTCCTGTGCATGGCCGGTCCATGTTGAAGGAAGATGCCGAGTCTCATTCGAGGGAGCACGATACGCGCAAGATTATGAAGGACGATTCTCATCAAGAGAGAATCCCCGATGTTGTCCCAAGGCAACATAAAAAGACATATGAACGATCCCGTCATATCGATATTGAAAGAGTTCAGCTGCCGAGCAGCCATGGAGAGCCTACTACGGTAGGAGGCTACGAGGCAGACGGACTTTCCTCAACGCAAGACTTGAAATATTTTAGTGATAGAGATGCCTCCCCATATACAGATAAGAGTGTGAAAAAACGTAAATTTAAGAAACGAGCAGAAGAACCAACAGAAGAATATTCGGCTGGACAAAAATCCAGTTATCCTAAAGATGCCGAATCGAATAATTCGTCACATACTAAACGCATAACTATTGTGAAAACGAAAACGACAACTACGATAAAACCTGACGAAGAGAAAGGCAAAGACAAAGTAAAGAAGCAAATCGTTGGGAAAATCGATGACAAAAATGTCACCCATAGAGAACCCAAGGAAAAGCTTAAAGGAGAATCAGGAGTTTCAGCATGGATCCCAACTACTACTGAAATGGCCATTTCTCATGCTAGAACCATCGATCAAGACGATATAGAGAATTCTGATTCCTCAGCAGTCGATATAAATGTCCTATCCAATGAAAAGGAACGTACTTCGGACACTCATAAAGAAAAGAAAAAGACGAAAAAGAAGTCGAAAAAACCCAAAAGCGATAAAATCACGCCAGCTTTCGTCATTGAAGAAGTTATCAGACATATTCCTGACGAGGAAGATCATAAGGATACACCTGATTTCAGAGTTCCAAAGCCAGTGAAAAAAAGTAAAAAACGGAAGGGAAGCAGTGAAAAGGAGAACACTATCAGTTTGATTCACGAAGAAAAAATGAGTCAACCAGCAGAAGAAGTGATTGCATCTGATGAAATGATAACAGTCAAAACTATTTCAAATGAATCTTTTGACAACAAAAATGGCGTAACTGCTTTCATCGAAAGTGAAATCAGTGATCAATCAGTTACCGAAAATATAGCTGTCACAGCAGAATCCAAAGTGAAAAGCACAACGTCGATTATAGAAAATCAAACAGAAGATGCCTTGGACTTGGTTATGACCGACTCAACTGAAGAAATTAATACCAGATTTGAAATTAAATCAGCAGTAGACGTAACGTCAGTAATTGACGAGGAAAAAACTGAATCACAGTTGATTCCAGTTAAGCCTTCAGGGCAAGAAGCAGAAATTAACGAGCCGAATTTGAAAAGTAATGAAAACCTAGAAAAACAAGCAGATAAAAAGTCTAGAAAAAAGAAGAGTAAGAAAAAACAATCCGTGAAAAACGAAGGTGATGAAATTGAGGTGAAAGAAACTAAGATTAATGTTGAAGACAAACTTACAACTACCGAAACAAAAAATCTATACGAAATAGATATCGAAAAACAGGTAATGGACGATAACGCTGTTGAGGAACCTAAAAAATCAAAGAAGAAAAAACACAAGAAAAAAACCCAGAATAACGAGAAAAATCTACTAGAGGTAGTTCCTGATGAAGAAAACACAGAGAACATTGGAGAAAAAACTATCGAATCCACTGTAGGCTCAATCATCTCAGAACAGATTGCTCTTGACGATACTACTACTACAGCCGAAATCTTAGATATTAAAGAGGACCAAAAATTGAAAGAGTATGTTAGATCAGAAACATCAGAAAATATTATCGACAATCGGGAAATAATTTTGTCTGGTCCACAACCAGATGACCCATGTAGTCCTACTAAGAAAAATGCAACAATCGATGTAATAAAAACTTCTTCAGATATAAAGGAAGATCAAGAACCTACTGATATTATTAAAACACCAATTAACTCTAAAAGTACAGCAACGAATGAGATTATTACTGTAACAACACAAATCTCAGAATTGAAAAATGACGTAAATATAGATCGTAAACTAATTGATGACATTATTTCAGAAAATGAAATTGCCAAAGATAGGGTTGTTGAATTAGCAGAAGTAAAAGTAAACGTAGACAGTACCCTAGAAGATGTAGACATGATCTCGGATATCTCAGAGACTTCTGCTCCGAAAGATGTTGTTATCGAAAGTGAAATGAAAGTGGATTTAAATGATCAAGAAACTATCTCATCTAACATACAACCTAATGTCTCAGAATTTTCTGTTATTAATGAAACTGCTGTCGAAATTTGGGATGTACAAAAAGTAGTAAATGAAAAGTGTTTTAAAGAATGTCTGGAAACGATTTCATCTATCGCAAAACCAGATATCCCAGAAAATTCCGTTGTAACTGACATTTCCCATATCGAAGACGATACACTGAGGAACCAGATCACTATTGAATCTACCTTACCAGCAGATACCTCCGAAAAAATAATTGAGAAATCCAATTCGGTTATAGAAACTGAACTCGAAGTTGATGTAGATAGTATTGTAGAGGAAACAACCCTCGAGTCTATTGCACAAACAGCTCCTTCAGAAAGTTTCTCTTCAGAAGATACATCTGTTAATACTTCCGTCAGTACTTCACAAAATGAAATAGTTAACACTGATCACAGAATCGAACAAGTGAAAAATATCATAACTTCTGTTATGAACACAACCAAAAACGAAGATATCACGATATCTGGAAATGAACAGTCACCAGATTTCAGTTCCATACAACCAACATCTCAACAATCATCCAAATCATCGGAGGATATTTCCGAAAATCAAGTACGCCTGGCCGGAGACTCTCTTAGGAACAAACCGAATTCTTCTATTTCAGCGACGAAGACAAATAAGGTTATTTTGATAACACACGAAGAGTTTAGAATGAAACCCATTGTTTCTCTGAAGATGGAATTTTTCGAAACTCCCGTAGAGCAAATTCACTATATCGATAAAGGAAGAACGGAAGAAATGAATATGAACAGCACAGAAACTGAAATAGTTGGGAAACAAGTCGGACAATCTACTGAAGAAGGAAACCTTTCGAATGATATTGAAAAAGAGAAAATAGAGTATTTAGAAAAAATTGAGAATAATTCAAAGAGTGTCAAGGAAATAAAAACTGTAAATGAAATGGACACTGAGAAAAAGAGTGAATCAGTGGCAACTGAATTCATAGAATTGAATCCAACTACAGTTTCCACAGAGTTTGAAGAAACAGAATTTGAAATCGGCACCAAAGAAGAAACTGATAAATCGAATCTACTAGTAGAGAGTAAGTACGTTGAATTTGATGCACCGGATGAAAAAATTAAAGAAAACAAAGTCAATATCAGTGAAAGTTTCATAAAACACGAAAGAACGAGTATTTCAAGCGAAGAAGAGACGTGGACAATTCTGGATTCGAATGTAGATGAAAAAGAGGACACTGAAGATGATGTCGAAAAAAATAAAAATGCATCTGATTCTTTTGATTTCATTGAGATGGAACAAGTTATATTCGGCTCAGTGAAGGAACGCCCAAAAAAAATTGTCACGGAAATATATCGCTCCAAAGAAATTGAAGAACTACCAGAGATCATTACTAATGAAGAGAGTAAACCTGGATTGGATAAGCTCGAAACAGAAAAAAAATGTCAAGGTATGCCCTTAAGTATTTCATTCGAAAGTGAACAGCCCCTAAAAGATGATCACATTTCTGACTTTGACATTGAATGTCAGAAAACGTCAGTGTCGAGATCTGATTCTGTAATTGACACCGAAATCAAAACTATTGAAGACGTAATGAATATTTTGGAATCGAAAAAATCCAGAGAAATCACTAGTGTAACAATCACAAAGACAGAATCTGTAGATGATGATTTGTATATCATGAATGAGGAAGATGTATCTAATGATGAGAAGGAAGACCATAAACCTGAATTGGATCCCAAAGGTTTGCCAATCGATGAAAAACTTGATGTTATCGATGATCATATCGTGATCTCCGACGAAGAATTGGTGGAGAATAATATTGAACCAGTCAGAAGTATACCAGTTGCTGATTTTGGAACGAAATCATGGGTTGAATTCGTAGAGGGTTCTGACTCAACAGACACGATCAGCCAGGCGACACAAGAACGATTGAATAAAACTCAAGATAGTGCTTCAACTACTATTTCCAAAAAAGATACCTCAGAAGGTCAAGAGATAACTGAAGTTGTCGATATTTTATCCCAGCTCAAACAAGAAACTCTATCAAAATATAAACCAGACCTTGCTTCTATACCTGATACACAACCGAAACATTTGCCCGCGTGGCTGAATCTACCCACAGTAATCAGAGATTATCCAGAAAATGACACCACTGATAAGAAGAACAAAGTCATCGAAGAAATAATATCAGAAACCCAAATCATTTCACCAGCTGTCGAGACGCCAATACGAAAAACCAGTGAAACGTTTATTGAGGAAGAAAAACGGCATTCCAAAAGTGATATCGTAGGTAACATAAAAGTCGTAGCTGAACAAATTGAGCCAACTGAAGAATCAGTTCCCAAAGAAACAAAACAAAATGATTTTGACAATAACAAGCAGGAAGTGAAAGAAAACATCCAAACCATTGTTGCGAGGCCTTTATCTCCTGAAAAACCATTGCCTGAAATAAGCTATTTAGAAGCAACAGAACCAGTTATGAAACCTGTTTCATCGTTCCAAGATATTGAAGAAGAGGAAAGTGTTGAAGATATGCTGATAAAATTGAAAGAAGAAACTCTCAAAAAGTACCGTGAACAAACAAATTCGAAAGACTATCAGGAAAATAAAAGTGTAGTTCATGAATCAGAGAAAAAAACTCAAAATAATGATTCTCACCAAACCAAAGCAGAAAAACCTAAGAAAGGTAAAAAAAAGAACAAGAAGAGAAAATCTGTATCTTTCGAAGAAACCCCTCAAATTATAAACATCGAAGAACATGTACAAGTCCCTCCGGATGTTTCGGAAGATGATACTGAAACTGCCGAAGAGTTTATTTTCATTCAAGGCACAAACAGAAATCAGGAGGAGGTACTGGAACCCATTTCTGAAGTAATCCCACAGTCTGAGATGCTCGATTCCACCATTATCTCAGAAAACACTACTGAATCTGAAGATGGCTCTCAGTGGGTAAAAGTCAATTCTGTAGAGGAAAAAGAAGAAACAAAATCAAAAGCTACAGTATATGAAGGTTTACCGATAGATAACAGCATGAATATATTCGAAATATTAGATTCAGCCATTATAATTTCAGATGACGAAGAATCAACTGAAAATAAAGCTGAGCTCTCAACATTCTCTCAAGATTTTCCTGAAATTGATTCCAAATCCACTGTTCCTTCTATTATGATTGGACCAGTGTCAGTGGACCAAACTGTAGAAAATTCAGATACAATCGAAATGTCAACCTCAGAATTCATCAATGCGGAAAAATATGCAATTATTGAGGAATATCAGAAAACTGAAAGTGACAATTCGAATGAAATTGCTTCAGAAGAACCTAGGCTACTAACTGAACTGAGTAGAGAGATTCCGACTGAAAGTTTGTCATTTGTTATTTCACCTTGTACAAATGATACCAATGAATCCCTTGCGAATTCAACTGAAGTAATTCAGGAAGTAGCAGAAGGAAAGAAAGAGGAACCTATGAAAGATACTGAAGAAACCAGAAGGAAGAAGAAAAAATCAAAGAAGAAGAAAGAACCAACATTCGATAGTAAAAATGATGAAGATGTGAAAGACCTTTCAGAAAAAGTAAATGAACAAATCACAAGAATTGAAAGTGAACAACCTCTCAGTAAATCTTGGGCTGAAATCGTTGCCAAAAATACTGAAGGACGAGATAATAATTTAAACACAACTGAAGTCAAATCAGATCTTGTTAAAGAATCGGAAGAAGATGTTTCTCAAGTGCAAGTACCTGTGGATAAAAAATACAAAAGAACGGAACTGTCTGAAGAATTTCTTTCAGAAGAGAGAAAGTACACTTCGATTGAGAAACAACATAAAGAAGTAGTCGAAGCAACTTCTCCAAAACCTAATAACCAACAAAGGGCAGAAGCTGAAGTGTCTATTGAGATAGTAGAAGACTTGAATAAAACTTGTGATGAAATACAATTCCCATCTGAAGTTCGTAACTTACCGACATCCTGGGCAGAAGTTGTCAGCAAATCATCTTCAGTCGAAGAAAAATACCCATCTCAGGATCAATACAGTACATTTGTTGAAACGAAAACGAAAAGTAATATACCCGCTGATACTGGTGAACAAGGGAAGAAAGAAGATGAAGAGAAACACCATTCAGAATCTCACGAAGAAGCAGTTATTGAAGATTCTGAAAATACTTCTCTAACTGATGCAGTTGATGAACTCTCGGAGAATATAAATATCGAAAAGTTGTCATCAGGAAAAGAAAACAAAGAATTTAGTTGGGCAAAAATTGTTGGAACATCATCTTGTCTGGAAAAAAATTTGCCATTTGAATCAGATGAGAGAGAAAATCTAAGTGAACATTCGGATGAAGTGGATCACACACAACCAGAAATTGATGTAGGAGGAAAACTGATATCTAAATCAGAACAGACAGATCATCTTTCGCAAAAAGAGACTATGGTTGACACTACTGAATTAGATAGAGAAAGTAAGGAAAATGCTAATACTGATATCACAAAACCTAAGAAGAAGAAGCATAAGAGAAAACATCATCATGAAAAGCAAATGGATTCGAATATTGAAAATATTGAAAGTAGTTCTGTTTCAGAAAAGATTGAACAAACCACAGAAATTAAACAATATGTTGAAGATGAAAGCGTAAAACTGTGTGTATCTGAGAACAAAGATAGTGTCGGAAGTATTTCGTTAGTCAAAACATTCGATCATGTAACAGAAACCGAACATAAAAAACCTAAAATCATTAGTATTTCATCTTCACCTGAACTGGAGCAAATCGATCATCCGCAAAAAGAACACACTCCTATTGGTGAAAACATAAAAGATGGTGATGAAGTATGTGTTGTTGATACCACAAAATCTACAAAGAAGAAACATAAAAAGAAGCAACACCGCGCAAATCAAATCGATTCACAAATTGACAAAGTTGACAATATTAGCTATATTCATACTACTGAAACAGAGGAACTGGTTACTGAAATCGAAACAGAAAAATATGTTGAACAGAAAACTGAGTCTTTATCTGAAGACGGGGATACTTCTGTTGCTACTTGTGAAATGAGGAAAGATAACAATGAAGTTACTGACACTGATACCACAATACGTACAAAGAAAAAACATAAGAAGAAGCACAATCGGGAACATGAACTCCAATCACAAATTGAGAAATTCGAGATTACAGAAAATTATTCTGTTAGTAAAACTTTGGAACAAGTAACAGAAATCTCAGCTGAAAAGTGTTTCGATACGGAAAATAAAGATTCCACTTGGGCACAGATTGTTGGCAAGTCTCCACCCGACGAAAAACGTTTGTCCGAAATAAAAGAATCAGAGGAGAAAGTTGAAAATGCCCCCACAACTGTAGAAACTGAAGGCTTAAATGATGAAATCGTTGTGGTAGATTCCATCAAACCTACAAAGAAAAAACATAAGAAAAAACATCATCGTGAAAATCAAAGTGAACCTTCCATCGAGCCAAAAGATAATATTGAAACCAAAACTGAAGAATTTTCAAATGTAGCGACCGAATCCGAAACCCAAAATAAAGATTTCACTTGGGCAGAAATTGTTGGCAAATCAACTTCACCTGAAGGAAGGCATCAGATTGAAGAAGATCAGATTCTACCTCAACCAAAAGAAGAAACAGTCGTCACACCTGCTGAGATAACTGAAATTGACATAACTAAACATTCAAAGAAGAAACAGGAGAAGAAACACCATCAAGAAACACAAAATGAAGGTCCCACTGAACGAATCGGCCAAGTAGTAGGAATAGATGAAGACAAAATTGTGAAATCTCCAAGTCCAAACAAAGATTCCTGTTTCCACTTCATCGAAGTTGAAAGAGGAGTTCTACCCTCCAGACAAACTTTTGATGACTTTTACGACAAAGGTCAAACTAAATCTAAACTGAAAAGTAAGAAACATGCAGAACCAGAATCTGCGGATGACCAAGTTCTTTCTGATCTGAACACAACAGAGGTAAACCAAGAAATTAGGGAAAATGAAGATACGAAAACCGATAAGAAACAGAAGAAGAAGAAACACAAGAAGAAAAAGTCTCAAGAAGAAACAGCCGATGATAAAGTATCTGAGACAGTCGAATATCTGAATGAAAATGTATTTGTAGATACCACCGAAAAATCAAACATAAATATTACCCTGGAGATTTCAGCAGATATTCCAAAAGAGGAAAGATTGGAAGTAGAGAAAGAATGTATCGAAACTGAAGGGAGACAAGTAGTAAATGAGAACGAAACCAAGAGTTCAAAGAAAAAGAAACACAAAAAGAAACCAATGAAGGAAACAAAGAAGGACGTACTTCTCAGCCCTGAAGAAGTGGACCGTCACGAATTGGTATCTGAGGAATCTAATTTGAAAACTCATGATATAGTAGAAACTACAGAGAAAGATTCAATCAAATTGTATGAGTCTGTTACACAATCTTCCAAATCATGGGCTGATGTGGTTAATTCGAATTTGACACAAACGCCTGCTGCAAAAACAATTGAGGAAACTGTTAAGGAAGAAATTGTTAATCTTCCTTGCGATATTATCACAAATGAAACGGAAAACGATACAGAAGTGAAAAAGTCTAAAAAGAAAAAACATAAAAAGAAGCACGAACCCGTTGATGAGGAAAAGAAACTTGCCTTCGAAATCACTGAGCAGATTCGGCATATCTCAGAACTATCTATTTCAAGGCCGAATAAAATAGACAAGGAGAAACAAACTTCGGAAAAAGAACTGGACGAAGCCGAAGCAGTAGATACTGTTTCTGAAAATGTAGTAATTGACAAAACCGAAACAGAGTCGATAAACACTAAATTTATTGTAGAAGAACAATCCAACACTTTTGAGCCCATTGAACTAGTTCAAATGAGGTCGATAGAAGACGAACCTAAGTCATGCATTGACATAGATCGACAGACAGAGGCAGATATACAAGAAATGATTTCGAAGGTTATTGAAAGCGAAGGCTCGACGAGTATTTCAATAGAAACAGAAATATCTGAGCCCACAAAACAAATATTCGATAAACAAGTTATTCCAGCACCAATTGTTGAAGGAGGGGTTTCCACTAGAGTAGAATACAAGGGGCTACCAATAGACAAATCTACATATCTGGTTGTTGATGAACCTAAAACACTTTTGGATGTCAGTGATCAAACTGATGAGGACAAAATCATAAACGAAAAAATTGTGACTGAACCCTTAACAATAGAGCATACTGTCACGATAGTAGATTACGAATATTCCAAAGAAAATCTGAAAGAATCACCTGAAAGTATCTCACCAGAAAAGATCAAAATAGAATACAAAGGACTGCCTGTGGACAAAAACACTGAGATGTTCCTAGATATTTTAGATGAACCCATAGAGTTTTCTGATGATGAAGAACAGCAAACTCTCGAAAGAAAAGAAAGTTTTGACGTTTCAAATGAAAAACATTTATTCACAGAAAGCAAAGAATCTACTTTCATTTTGCCAACAACAGAACAGTCTGAAAATATGAAATTTATATCAGAAGAGCAAATAAGCTCTGAAAGAGAACCTAAAGTGAAAGTTGAGTATAAAGGTCTTCCTATTGACAAATCCACAGAGATGTTTTTGGATATTTTAGATGAACCTTTAGAGTTCTCCGACGATGAGGAGCAGCAAGTTGTAGAAAGTAAAGAAATTGAAAATATTTCAGATGAAAAAGAATTACTCGCAGATATCAAAGAATCTTCAGTAATTTCATCAAAGACCGAACCAGTTGAAAATACGAAAGACTTATCAGAAGAAACAATAAACCCACAAAAGGAATATACAGTTGAAGTTGATTCTCAAGTCAAACTTACGGAAATTTCTATTCGACCTAAGGAAATTCAGAAAAAAGATGAAGTAGAACTATTTTCATCTGAGGAATTAGAAGTTTTGAATACTTCTGTTGAACCTGCTGATAAAGATACACAATTTGAAAACACGAAAGACTCTGAGGATGAGAAAGATTTAAAGAAAAATCTGGAGAAACCCTCTGATAATATAACACAAGAAAAGTCCAAAGAATATAAAGGTCTCCCTGTTGACAAATCAACAGAGATGTTTTTGGATATTTTAGATGAACCCATAGAATTCTCCGATGATGAAGAACAGCGAACTTCCGAAAGAAAAGAGAGTTTGGACATTTCAAATCAAAAACATCAATTCACAGAAAGCAAAGAATCTACTTTCATTTTGCCAATAACAGTACAGCCTGAAAGTATGAAATTCATATTAGAAGAGCAAATAAGCTCTGAAAAAGAACATGAAGTGAAAGTTGAGTATAAAGGTCTTCCTGTTGACAAATCCACAGAGATGTTCTTGGATATTTTAGATGAACCCATAGAGTTCTCCGATGATGAGGAGCATCAAGTTGTGGAAAGTAAAAAAATTGAAAACATTTCAGATGAAAAAGGATTACTTCCAGATATCACGGAATCTTCAGTCATTTTATCAATAACGGAACCAGCTGAAAAAAGGAGAGATTTATCAGAAGTAACAATAATTCCACAAAAGGGTAATACTGGTGAAGTTGATACTCAAGTCCAACTTTCGAAAATTTCTATTCGACCTGAGGAAATTTATGAAAAAGAAGAAAATGATTCGTTTTCACCTGAACAATTGAATGTTTTGAATATTTCTGTTGAACCGGCGAATGAAGACACAACATTTGAAACCAAGAAAGACTCTGAGGATGATAAAGATTCGAAGACAAATCTAGAGAAATATTCTGATAATACTGCACAAGAAAAGTCCAAAGTAGAATATAAAGGTCTCCCAGTTGACAAATCGACAGAAATGTTTTTGGGTATTTTAGATGAACCTATCGAGTTCTCAGATGATGAAGAACAACAAGTTGTGGAAAGCAAAGAAGTTGAAAACATTCCAGATAAAAGCAATGTGCTTGCAGATGACATAGAATCTAAACTCATTTCACCGATAACAGAACCAGATGAAAGTACGAAAGTGTTATTAGAAGAAACAATTAGCCCAGAAAAGAAGTCCAAAGTAGAATACAAAGGTCTTCCTGTTGACAAATCTACAGAGATGTTCTTGGATATTTTAGATACACCTATAGAGTTCTCAGATGATGAAGAACAACAAGATGTCGAAAGCAAAAAAATTAGCAAAATTTCAGATGAGAATGTATCATCCGCAAATATTGAGGAAACGACACATAATCTACCAGTAGTAGAAACATCTGAAAGTGCGAAACTGATATTTAAAGAGAAAATTAGTTCAGAAAAAGAATCTGAAATAGAATACGAAGTTCTTCCTATTGACAAATCCACGGAAATGTTTCTTAATATTTTGGATGAACCTCTAAAAATATCTGATGAAGAACAAGAAGTTGCAAATATAGAATATATTGACGTTTCGGAGGAGAGAGAATCAATTGTAGAAACTGAAGATTCATCGTTTGTCTTGTCCGCAACAGAAATATCTGACAGTACAATCATTATTTCAGAAGAGAATGTTAGCAGAGAAATGGAACCCACAGAAAAAGTTGAATATAAAGGACTTCCCATCGACAAGTCAACTGAAGAATTCACTGAAGAAATTAATGATCCTCCAACTCCATTGTCCACAGAATTTCCACTGTTATTACCAACTTCTAAAGTTAATGATTCGATGGAAATGATTTCACCTGAAAATGAATTAATTGGTATCATTAACGAGAGTGCAAAAGAAGATTCTGAACAGGGAGAACAGAAAACAGAAAAACATGTTTCAGAATTAAATGCTGACGATATTCCCAAATATGATATCGTTGGATTGAGGCAAGCTGAAGATGATTACTTTATCAACACTCCAAAATCGAAAGAGGCACCAATGCCAAAGAATACACATGGAGATATTCCAAAATGTGATATATTGGAAATGTCAGTACAAGACAGAGAATATTTTGAAATAAAATCTGAAACACTGGTGGAAGAGGAACAGAGTCCTAAATATGACGTGGTACAATTTGTACAGTCTGAAATAGAATTTTATGAAAAACAATCCCTAGTTGAAAAATTGGAAAAATATGACTCTGATATATTGAAGTATTCCGAAACACAAACATCTTCGACTGGTATTTCTTCTGATTCAGAAACAAAAGAATGCATTGCCTCAAAAACTAATAGTTCTAATTTGGATCTATCAAATGAAAATGCAGAAAAAGAAATAGATATTGATAATGAAAATAAACATTCTAACGAAAAAATCGTAGAAGATTTACAGATTACAGAGCAAGTCACGAATCTTAATGTTCTGAGACTAGAAGAAAATATCGAATCAATATCTGAAACTAGCACTCTTTCAAATATAGAAAATAAACATCACGACAATGAAATTCTTAAATACGATACCATCGGTTTGAGGCAAGCAGAAGACGCTTACTTCATCAATATCTCAAAGTTGAAAGAGCCCCTTGATTCTTTCAGTATCATGAAAACTGAAGAATTTCCAGAAGAAAATATATTCAAATATGATATACTGCAAATTTTGAAGCAAGAAGCCGAATGGTATGAACAAATGATCCCGTCTGAAAAATTACAAGAAGCAGAAACTCATATTTTTGAAAGCGATGTGCCTACAACTGATGTTTCTTCTGAGTTGAAAACAACAATAGACGTGACTCAGAGCTCAGAAAATCTTGAATTAGATTTACTTCCTAGAAGTGTTGACGATGAGTATGAAATTATACCTTCTAACGAACAATATGCGGAAGAGATATCTCCAAATCAATCTGAATACACTATTAGGGAATCATACAGTAAGGAATTTATCATTCAAAAAACTGAAGAATCAGATTCTATATCACTTACTTCAAAACCCGTTGAAAAATATTCAGATAGTGTTGACGACAAGAACTTAGATATCCCAATGTCACATTCACTGGAAGAACATTTCACATCTAGAGTGATATCTGACCCCCAAACTACAATTGGTTTCATTTCCCAGGAAATCAATGAAATTGAAGATGATAAAATGTGTATTGTTGAAGAGGTAACTGAAGATGAAACTGAAGCAATGAAGATCGAAACAGATGTTGCGAAAGATACCGAAGAAAAAGGAATTGACGAAGCTGTAGAACAAGAAACATCAGAAATATGCCAAGTTGAAACGGAAAGTGGTGATTTGACAGAGAATACTCATATCATTTCAGAACGAAAAGATAATAAAATATCAGATTCTGTGAAAGAATACTCGACGCCGAGATCAATTCATGATCAGCAAATTACTGCTGGCTTCATTCATCAAGAAATCAGTAATATTGAAGTTGATGGAATGAGTGCAGTTGAAGAATTGAGAGAGTCTATTGATGAAACTCCATCGAAGATAACAGAAGATGTTACTGAACAATCATCTGAAATACGAGAACAAGAAGCAGGTGGTGATGATGAAGATATGAAGATCGAAGAACAGGTGGTGAAACACTTCGAAGAAGAAATTGTCGAAAGTGAATATCAAGAAACACACGAAATATGCAACGTTGAGACAGAAAATGATGATTTGAATAAGACAGCTCATATTATTTCGAAACAAAAATCATGCGATCAAGAAAAATCGTCTGGAACTGAGACGTACTTTGACAATGAAAATTCTAAAGTATCGGAAGCGTTGGGAGAATATTCACCTTTTCGATCAGTTCGTGATAACCAAACTATTACGGACTTCATTTCTCACGAAATCAGTGATATTGGAGTACATGAAGTGGCTACTGTTGGAAATTTGGAAGTGTCCACCGATGTTCAAGAACATCATAGAGGCAATGACGGTAAACAAATGAACATTGAAATAGATATTGATGAAAACTTCGAAGAAAAAGAAATTGATAGATCTAAGAGACAGAAAGCAGACGAAACATGCCTTGGTGAAACGGGAAGTGGTGATGTGACTGAGGAGTCTCATACCATCTCAGAACGAAAACCTCATGATGAAATTAAAACATCCGAGTTTGAGGCTTACGTAGACACAGCACCGGAGTTCGTTCCTAAATTCGAATCAGAGTACGAAACTTTGTCTGAGTTATCAACAGAAGCTACAGAATTTGTTCCCAAATCGGAATATTCGCGACTGAATCCGAACGCAGCGGAATTTATACCCGGTGCAGGAGATCGAAGTTTACCTTCTCCATACGTAGAATACTCTGAAGGGTATCACACTCCTCAGGAACACTACCAGGATACTGCGCCGTGGGAATATACTAAACCCTCATACGGAGACGACACTTCTCCTGAGCAATACGACTCCGAAATAGAAATACCATCGGACCATGCAAGTAACTTGTGGGTTGATGAAATTCTCCATGAACCTGCAGACGACTTTATAATCTCTACAGCTGAACAAACCGCAGCTCAGATAGCTGAAACAAAGGCGGAAGAAATCGCTCAGAAACAATTAGAAGAGAGTCTGCTTCCAAAGGACGTTGTTTCGGAGCTTTCAAATAGCGGAGTCCAAGATTCAGCATCAATCTGTTGGGAGGAAGAACGCGAGAATGAAGTTACTGGCGCTGGGGAAGAAACATATAAGAACAAAGAAATCGAAAATAAAGACCCAGAGATACCAGTTTCGTCACTTACTAGCCATGAAATCTCAGAATCCGAGTCCATGTCTCATCAACTCGTTACCGAAGAAAGAACGGCCGTCCAAGAGGAAAAACAGGTGAATGTTTGGGAAGCTCTCAGATCTGGAGATAAAACATATGCTGATATCGTAGCCAGCAATTTACGTGAAAAAGTCAAGCTTGAAATAATTTCACAACCTTTACCAAAGCAGGAGTTGAAACCAAACATCGAAGTTAAAGTAACGGAGTCCGTGAATGTGGAACCTTCGACTGTTGAAGTTGATAATGAATGGCAGGTGAAGAGAAAGGGAAAGAAGTCACATTCGAGATCACGTTCAGATCTAAGTGAGATTCCCCAACCCTCTGATATTGCTAAAACAGAAGAGATACGTGTTGACTCTCATGGAATTAATAAAAGAAAATCTCGAAAGCGCGATAAAACTCCTCATGAAATATCAAGGGTCGATGCTGAACCGGCTGAGGTACAGCATCAATCTCCGAATGAAACAGAAAGCTCAATGGATAAATCTACTGAATTCAATACATCAGATGCTGTTTCTATCGAAATTGAGGGAAAATCAATTAGCGAAAAACATGAAAGTACTCTTTCTGAGCAGATCCAATCTAAATCCACAAAAGAGATACAATCTGAAAGTCTTGTAGTTGAAGATAAATCCGAAAAAAGGAAGAGGTCGAAATCTAAAAAGAAAGATAAAAAATCTACCATGGTGCCTCAGGACTCTAGCAAGGTTTCAGTTCTTTCTGATAAACCAATCATAACAGATCATTTACCATCTGATCTGGACACTGTAAAACCTTCGATAGTTACAATTCAAGAAAAAACTCTTCATTTCACATATGCTGATATTGCAAGAAGTGGTAGGAGCAGGGAATCATCACCTCACATTGAGGTCATTAAACCAATTATAGAGAAGATAAAATCCAAAGTGGTAATAGAAAAAAGTGTATCGGAGAAAGATTATCCGAGTGAAGATACTACAGAAAAAGTAGAAGACAAAATTTTCAATTCTGAGTCCAAATACAATGAACCCACAGAAACACTTGAACAAGACAAAGATTCGTCTCGAGAACCTGAAAGAGGTGAGTTAAGAAGTGTAGAAAGTACTAGTATTGAGAGAAATGATAGAAGAGAAACAATTAGCAAAGCTCCCGATTCAGAAAATTTCATCAACGAAGAAGTCAAGGCAACAATATCAGAAAGTGAAGTCAATTTGAAATCGTATGCTGATATTTTAGTGGAAAACCAAAGAAAAGTCACTAGAAATGATTTATCTCCTCAGAAATCCAAACCGTCTACGCCCTCCAAATCTGTTGATGTACAGATTATTGTTGTTGGTGAGGATAAGCCAGAATACGTTGCAGAAGTAGACTCTGAGGGTTTCATTCCATTTGCAAGACACAGAGATCGATCTCGATCCCGTTCCAGATCTGAGAGACACAAAAAGCCCGAGAAAAAGGAGAACTTGAAAGAATTCACAAACGTCACTGACGTGGTTGAGGAAACAAAACATACAGCAGTAACAACTGATGTGGAAAAGGAAACCATTGTGAGCTCACCTGTTAAAAGTTGGGCTTCCATTGTGAAGGCGAACTCTGAAGAACCCAAACTATCAAAGAAACAGGTTCATGCAATCGATATACCTTTGAGCTATACAGAGGCAGCGGAAGGGCCTATCGAAAATCTAGATACTGAAAATATTACGCAAGATGTTGATGAAACAACAGAGGTTGATAATAAACAAGAAAATACCAGTGGATTTTTCGGAAACTTGATTGCATCCGTGAAGAAATCTGTTCGCGGGAAGAAAGACATTAATGAACCAACACTAGAAACTCCCATTGAGAAGAAAAAGAAACATAAAAGTAAGAAAAATAAGAACCAATACATGGAGTCACAACCAACGGAATCCGAACCTAAGGTAGATTCAGAAAAAGATGCATCAGAATTGTCTGAAAAAACAATATTGCGTATTCCTGAATCCATTCATCAAGAGAAAATTTCGACTGTGGATATGTCATCAGCAGAAAAGAAAACAGAAACAGTGAAAGAGGAACCGGTGAGTAAAGATCAGAGTTTCATTGGAAATATACTGTCGAAAGTCAGTCCTACTAAAAGAAGTAAGAAAGATAAAAAATCAAAGAGAGTGGTGAAAATACCCGATGATAGTAATGAAGAATTGTCCAAAGATGAATCGATTGAACCTAAAGTATCACCTATTGAAAAACTTGAATCCACCGAGAAATCACCTGAAAAAATTATAGATAAAATGCAGTACGAAAAAGAAATTGAATTGTCCGAAAAAATTATTACTACTATCAAAAATGAATCTACTCAGGGGAACTTAAATGAATATATTCCATCAGATGGCGTAGAAGATGACTCGCAAACACATGAGAAAGAGTCACTCAAACTGAATGAAAATACCAAGGAACATTTTATTGAAGAGAACATTGAAATAGTAAATGCAGGTATCGAAGAGAAATTTGTAGAAATGAGACCTGAAAAACTTTTCGAACCAATCTCAGATTTGGTAACTTATAAAGACGTTTTAGATAAAGATCAATTCGAAAGAACTAAAACACTTGTCAGTCGAGAAATTAAAAACGCCACAGATGAATTTTTATCAGAAACGAGAAGAATTGAGGAAACCCTCAGACAGGATACAATTGAATCAAAACTTTCTCAAATCACACAAGATGAACAAATCAGCGAAAGCAAAAACGAAGAAGTTGTGGAGAATATCGTTGAAGAACTAAAACAGGAGGGGGAGATTGAACTGGTTGGACAAGAGGACTTTTCGTTGACGGTTCAAAACAAAACTGAAGAGTTTACACCCAAAGAAGAAACTCAATTGTTCAAAGAGGTATCGGTAACTGATGAAGAAGTGGTAGATGATGAACTGATAGCAAGGTCTGGAAATGTACTTTTTGACGATGGAAAAAATTTGAGATCTGGGTATAAAATTGCTACGCAAGAGTTTCTGTCAGAATCAAGAGAAACCGAGCTACTCACAAGACCAGATATAGTTGATGAAGTTTCAGTTAGGAAGAAGAAAGACAAAAAGAGAAAAGACTCACAAGGTGAAAGTGATAAGAAAAAACCTGGTCTGATCAAATCTATCGTTACTAGCATTGTTGACAAATTTTCGGGTAAGAAATCTAAGAAATCTGATTCCAGTCAAGTAGAAGATTTGGCCAGAAATATCGATTTGGACGGGTCTTACTGGATAACAAAATGTTTGTATGACGAAGCAGAAGAAAGTTGGTACTCTTATTCACCTCGACAAGATATTGTAATAGAAGATTCTACGATTGAACCAGATACTGAAGACGATTCAATCGCTTTTGCTAATAATCTAGCTCTGGACGGTTCATTTTGGATAACCAAATCTATTTACGATCAAGCTGAGGAATTGTGGCAGATAGAAAAAGCCCTCGCTAATAAACTTCAAGCTGCAGGAGATAGTAGAAAGTCGTCAGAAGAACCACCCGATGGGGATAGTGACTCAGATGGTTCTAGCGGTAGGGGATCGCCAGACAACAAACCTGACGGGGAATCATCTGAAACGTCGATGCCCTCGTCGCAGTATATGATGTACAGTTTACCCGGTGGCATAGCCGGATGGAGGGAGGAAAGTACTTACCTGGCTCCGGAGCCTTTATCTAGTGAAAGTTCGCGATACAGTACTATTGCGGATTCGGGCATCTGCACTGTAAAATCGGTTGATGAGCATTTATCCGCGGCTAAAAGACTCTCTGAAAGTATGGCTGAGGACGTTATAAGCGAAGAATCACCTTCACAACTTACTCCCGATCTAGTTTCCTCCTTAGGGCCCCAAATGCAGCCACCGACAGGTCCAGAGATCAGCACTCCGGATGCCGCCGAAAGGCTCAAGAAGGTGAAATATAATTGTGTTATCTGTTTGGGTTTTCAATCATTGTGCTTGTCTTCTGTTAACATAGTCTTAATTGTGATATTTCATGTTTTTTGGGCACTAATTTTATTTTCTTATTTGGTTTAGTGTATTTAAAGTACCCGTTTAATATATGCTTTTATCAGTCAAGCTTATTAATGTTTTGGTAAGTTGCTTATGAATGGTGTTTGGGTTACATTTGGGTGTATAGCATTTTGTTGGTAGTGTGCTATTGCGATTTTGGAAAAGAGCGTTGTTTTTTCGAAATATTTAGAAACTTCAGGATGGATGTTATCTTTTTCCATTCTATTACTACAACTCGATCCGTTTTTGGAGAGACGGGTGACAAATTTTCAGTAAAATATCAGTGTTTTTATCACTTACTCAGAAATCCGATGCAACCACTCTTCTTAATCACCAGAAATGCAATACTCTTCTCGACGCGCGGTCCACCAACCAAGTTGGCTTTTTCAGCAGATGCAGAAAACTGGTGGTTTGGAAATAGAAAACCAAAAAAGAAGAGAATTGCATTTCTGGCAATTGGAAAAAGTACTTATTTTGGATTCATTCGACGACAAAGGTTGCAGTTTTACCTTTGGATGCAATTAGATGCAATATTGCAACTACAACTGCGGCAGTCATCTTTAGTGGCGTGGTTGAAGTACTCTTTCTCTGCGGTATCAATTATGGTGCTGATTTCCGCGCACTTTCTGTAATGGTGGGTTTGCGCGTACTTCCCGCGCGATTTGGGTGACTTGGCTTCGTTTTGGCGATTTTCAATGCTGTGTGCTATATCTTTGGTTGAAAAGAATGTATTTAGAAGTCATAGAAATACACAAACACCAAGAGATCTTCAACAGAAAGGAATAGATAATATATCTACCAAAGATCTGGCATACATAATTGTGTAGTGACAAAACAAAGTCAAATCACAAAAATGCACGAAAAATCAGCATTATAAATGACACAGCAGAAATGGGAGCTTCAGTTTCAGTTCACACGTCAAGAAAAGCACTTCGACCACGCCACGTTTGGATATTATAACTAAAGAAGAAGACCACGACAAAACCTGGAAACCCTCCAGAATACTGATTTTCATTTCCCGGTTACTTGAAGTGTTTTTATCGTGATTTATTTTCGAAAAGTGGAAAGTGCATGTTATTTTCTCAAAGTGTGACAAAAGTATACAATGATTTACGTCATAAATGTAAAAACCAGAAATTTCAAATCTAATCACTACAAAAAATCTAGTTAATATTATCAAATATACCAAGTTTTATATCATTATATAGAAAAAGACTTCTTGCTGATTAGGAAAGGACTTTTTTTATGAAAATTGTGGCATTCGTTGAATCGATTCAGAACTAATGGTCATTGTGTTGTGGTTTTGTAAACTGCGTGTGTGAAAATCTCATATAACAACGTGATTTCTCAATACGTTTATCAAGAAACCTTTTTTATTAAATGCTTTTAAAATGTTATGCCTCATTTTTGAGAGCCGTTTACAAGGAGAAAAAAACATTTTTTTTTGTTACCGAAAATCATGTTTTGTGTTCATTTTATTATTAATAGATCTATAAAAGTATAATTCCAATGCATTTCCTCAAAGCCTACTCGAAATTGAAACTCAAAAGACGAGTACCTACTTTGTCAAAAGTCCAAATTTCCAAATACGCAATGTTGTTGTTTTAGATCAAAATTTGAAATGAAGTCGATAATAACTAATTGAAAGAAAATAAACACCGCATATAGGTACTATCTGTCATATTGACAGTTACCAACGGGAACAAATTTGGAATTAAAAAAGTGACAAAAAATTGCCATTCTCCATTCAGAAACGTGCTTGAGGGAACCACAATAGGGACAATTTTCAAATTCATCGAAAAAATTCTGATGTATTCAACCAGTAACAACAAAAAAATCAATGTGTTAACTCACCGATTGAATTGAAAACTTGCCCATTCAATCCCCACATCAAAATTGAAAATGTTAACTACCCTTTTGCGATGAAAACATATTTAGTAAAAGTTTTCAGTAATAACAAATTTGGAGATTTCGTTGTGAAAAGTACCCAAAAATTTGTTTATAATTAGTTGCCCCGTATCTAATTCCAGATTATATAAGGATAACTTCTGGTTAGTCGACTTGTCAAGGTCATTTCAGCATTCTTCTTGTCATTTCATAAAACGTCACTCCAGATTTTGCTTAATGTCTCCATGACTTTTGCAGTCTTGTGCAGACAACTATAGCAATTTGGCAACATCACAACGTGATCGACTTCAATAATACAACTAGGTGTCAAGTTGTGTTTGAGGTTAAGTTGTTTAGTTTCTGTGTTAAAATATAGTAGATTTTTATGAAGAAGACGTTTGAGATTGATTCGAAAAGTCCGTGATGTGTGAAATGAGGGATTTTCTGTGCATTCCTAATCAATTTCACATCAGAGTGCCCCAAGTGTAGGTAAAAGCAACCCCAAAAAAGTTTCAAATGGCATCGAAAGTTAAGTAAGTTATTGTTTCAAGTCATTGGAATCAGGCTTAACACTTTTGATGATTATTATTGATTATAATCAATAGACTTTTACACTGATATTGGAATAACCGTATAGGTGAAAACTAAATGTATAATAATAGTTCCTTATTTTAGATTTTTATAATTTTTGCATCAGTAGTTTTTTAAAAACGAGTAAAAATGTGAAGTCACTAACAGTTATGGCACTAACAGTTATGGCACTAACAGTTATGGCATCACCGTTAAACTTATTCACAATGCCTAGTTCAATTTTCTCCTTCCTGAAGTTAATTTGATAGTCAGTTCCGAAATTAACGCTTTCCTATTACGAAACATAGACTTTAACTGTAGTTTTGTTTGAAAGTGGTTGACAATGTTTCATGGTGCATTTATTAGTTCGGACTTCCATTGTCTATTATGATATAAATTGATTTGGAATCCAATAAATTGAAAAGATTAGCTAAAAAAAATTTCAATTATATCAATCAAAGGAACTGAAATTACATTGGAATAAAATTCAAGAAACAATTGAAAATTAAACAATTGACAAGAAATTAAAATTTCAAGTCAAGTTACTCCACAACGTTTCGATTGATACCATCCACAATCGTTTTCAGGTGATGACTGGACTTATTTTTCCGAGAGTTCACTATTTATAGGTCATTCGAGTGCTTTCACCTATCCTCTCTTCCCCCTCTTCGCTTCATTGGTTTTAGCGGAATCTGACCATTTTGCGGGAGGTGGCCGTTTGGCGGGAGTTGGCTATTTTCTGCTTGATTATAGGTTTCCATATGTTGCGTATCTCTACGCTAGCCTGGCTAAATGCGTTGTTGGACAACATATATGCGACTTCTTTAAATTTTCTCCTGAAGCAGTGTTCCTCCTTGTGGATAATTTCAGCTTAAGACCACTTGATATTATGTTGATGAGTCCAAACATGCTCTGTTATTCTTGATTTGCTGGTTTCTCCTTGCTGTGTGTGTTTCTTGTTCTCGGCAATGCGAACTTTCAATGGCCTCTTAGTTTCACCGATGTATGATTCTTCGCACTCGAGGGTATCGGTAAATGTAATTCTTGGAATCGCAGTCCGCGTTTGGTGACCTAGTTTTCGTGAGGCTGCTACGGAAAGTGTTCCCAGATCTGAAACAGGTTCTGATGTTATACTTGGACCCAATTCTTCTTATCCTCTCCGTCAATCTTCTGATGTAGGAAAATACAATTACTGGTTGTGACGGCTTCTCTTCCTTGTAAGGCTTTTGTTGTCTTCTAGCCAAAGTCTGTTCCACCATCACTTTGGAATCACTATTTCGTTGAAGATCTTTTTTGATGATGCCTGGTTTCTTCTCGAGACCTTCTTTCGTATTACAAAGAGAGAAAGCACGATCTTCTAGAGTCTTGATGATTTCTCTCTTACTCGATTGACGGTGGTTGGATTCCTGGTTCAGGTACTGTCCCGTGTGAGAGGGTTTTCAGTATGAAGATGTTTCCCATTTAGTGTCTTCACCAATACGTCTAAGAATGGAAATTCGGTGTGGACTTCCTTCTCCATTGTGAAAGTGATGAAAAGTCTTACGTTGTTGATGTGCTTCAGGATGGTGTCAGTTCTGTATTCCCATGGATATTATGAAGGAGTTGTCAACGTATCTCAGCCAGACTCGGGGCTTCTTGTGGGCTTCCTCAACGGCCAGAGTTTCAAACCACTCCATATATATGTTGGCTATAACCGGTGAAAGTGGCGATCCCATTGGCACTCCCTCATCTTGCGTAAAGATTTCGTCCTTTACTTGAAAGTAGCAGTTTCGCATACAGCATTCTAGTTTTTTTTTAATAAACTGTAAAGAGAATTGAATTTTTTAGGTGACACTTATACTCGCTTGAAGGTTATGGATGTGGAATCACAAATACTGAAAAATAATGTTGAGAAGAAACCAACCAGTTTCTGTGTTTTTCTAAAATATTGACTGATAACGATGGTTACGTATTTGTTTTTCCATACTCTATAAATATTTCATAATTGTTTGAAATCGGCTCCCAACCTGAAATGTTCACTTGAACACTATAGAAGAAATACTTTTCAAAATATAAATCCTTTGTTCCAAGTAGATGAAAAATAATCGAATTACCAGAGAAATATGATGAAAATTTGTAATCAAGTTTGTATTACTGAAAAAGTAAAGTGGGTCAGAATGATTCAGCAAATAACAGTGTTAATAACAATCCTGATCATTCACAATGCATTGGAATAAGGTAGTAAGTACCTCCTTATATGAAGGTTTTCAATGTCAATTTCCTCACGATGCTTGACCCACTGCAGTGAAAGGTTAGTCAATGAAAAAATTCATGGATGAAACGTGAAAAAGGCAAACTGATTTTTTGTTTTGTCGATATAAATGATTTTAGTCTGATGACTGTGTTTTGGATATGTATCTCTTCACAACACACACCAAGAAAATATTTCGAATGGAAATTCGAAATAATCTGAAACCGTTTTGTAGATAATCGGTAAATTGATTCCAACAAAGTCCTTCTCCAGGATAAAAGAAAAGCATCTGCAGCAATTTTTCCATCGAGGAAACTTGCACAAATGTCTGTCCAGATATTAGTTAACAAAATAGTTGCAATTCCGCTGTCATATGTCA